AAACAATTTCTCCCCAGCAAGCGTGGCAGATATGTGGTCAAGATGTAGAAGACCTGTGAGAGGGCAACAGGCTATACATAGAAGTTTCGGATTTACGAGGGAAAAGATAGTCATGCGGAGCCCACCGGATGCCCTGACTACATGGGAAGTAGTGGCAAGATAGTTTGGGACTTGGTGTCATCCTTTTTCCATACGGGGTACAACTTATATGTGGACAACTTTTATTCAAGCATGCCACTATTTAGACATTTTTACAATCTTGGAACTGGCGCATGTGGCAAAGTGTGACCTAATGTGTGCCCACCATTAGAAGTGGGTGGATGCAGGGTGGTATATTTTAATGGTGGGCATACCACACCTTTTTTTTTTTTTTCCCCAGAGATTTCTTCTCTTTTTTTCATTCAGTCCACAGGCTGCATAAAAAAAAAAAAACATAGCATATATACCCAACAAGGACTAGTGACGTACTAGTACATCACTGGACTTTGAATGGTTATACCAGAATGATGCCTACAGTTGCAGGCATCACACTGGTATCATTTTTTTTCAGCTGGCGATCAGCTTTGATGTAAAAGAAATCCTAGTGGCTAATTAGCTGCAGGATTGCTTTTACAAGCAGCGGGAGACAATGCCCCCCCCCCTCCCCCGCTGCCTTCCACGGCCTTCTCAGACAGTCTTGTGCCATTGTGGGAACCTGAGAATGCAGCTGGTGTTTCCGCCAGCTGACCATAGAGCTGATTGGAGACCAGAATGGTGGCAATCATCTCTATCCACTTGAGCTCCAGAGGATTTACCCCCTTAATGACCAGGCCTCTTTTTGCTACTCGGTGCTGCACTAATTCAACTGATAATTGCGCGGTCATGCAATGCTGCACCCAAATGAAATTTACGTCCTTTTTTTCACACAAATAGAGCTTTCTGTCGGTGTAATTTGATCACCTTTGCGCTTTTTATTTTTCACGCCATAAACAAAAAAAGGCCAAAAAGTTTGAAGAAAAACAATATTTTTTACTTTCAGCTATAAAAAATATATAGTAAATTCAAAGTTGGTTATAAATTTAGGCCAAAATGTATTCTGCTACATGTTTTTGGTAAAAAAAAATCCCAATAAGTGTATATTAATTGCTTTGTGTAGAAGTTATAGCGTCTACAAACTATGGTATAAATACTGCAATTTACGCCATTTTTCTGCTATACAGCGCTGCGCTAGTTTAATGGACAATTGCGCGGTCATGCAATACGGTACATAAATGAAATTTACATTCTTTTTTTTTCCCCCACAAATTGAGCTTTCTTTTGGTGGTATTTGATCGCCTGTGCGGTTTTTATTTTTTGCGCTATAAAAAAAAAGGCTGACAATTTTGAGGAAAAAAATGATATTTTGGACTTTTTGCTATAAAACATGTCCAGTAAAAAAAAATGCAAAAATCAAATTTAGTCATAAATTTCTTCCAAAATGCATTCTGCGACATGTCTTTGCTAAAAAAAAAAAAACCCAATACGTGTAAATTAATTGGTTTACGTGAAAGTTATAGCGTTTACAAAAGGCAGGAAAGATACTGGGATTTTTTATTTTTTTTATACTAATAATGGTGGCGATCAGCGACCTATGGTGGGACTGCGGGACTGCGGCGGACATTTTGACACTGGGGGGGAACTGACTTGGGGTCACTGACATCCCCAGTGACACCAATACAGTGATCAGTGAAAAAAAACCCCACGGACACTGTACTAATGTCACTGGGGAGGAAGGGTTATCATATTTAGTGTTTACTGTGTGAGGGGAGTGTTTTACTAGGGGGCGAGGGTGTGTACTGGAAGGGGGGAGGGAGGGGGGAGCTGATCGAGAGAGAGAAACTCTTCTCTCCCTCTTCAGCTTGTCGGGGAACTGTTACAGAGCAGGGCTGTGTGTAAAGAATGCAGCCCTGCTCTGTGTCAGCGATCACCGCTCATCAAGGGAAAACGGCCAGTAATAACCGGCCGTGACACGGCGGCGGAGACCCGCTGCTGACACCCGCGGGACAGGCGGGGCGGGCGCGCGCCTCACGTGCGCCCCCTACCTGTTTTGCAGAACCAGGTTTTTGCCTACGAACGTGGTTTTGCCTACGAGTGCCGCCCTGCTACCGTTTATATGCGGTGGCTGGGCGGCAAGTGGCTATAGCCTAAGAAATCAGAAGCTACGAGCATTTCATCACTTCAGTTTCGCAAGATATAAACAGTGCCATTTGTAAATTGGGAAAGCATCTGATCACACCGATCTTGGTTTGATTAGATAATGTAAGGGCAGAGGAGATATCTAGAGTCTAATACACCCCAGATTTCTCAAAAAAGAATATATGACAATGCCCATTGAAGTTATAGGGGATATTTGCATTCCCTGTGATAGCATTGAAAGTGCTAAAAAAAAAAAAAAAAAAAAAAAAAATGGAACAGTGTAAAAATAATTTAAAAAAAAATCAAAATAACTTCGAGAAAGAAAAAAAGTACTCTCACCCCCCCGCGCACGCTCACCTGCGTTTGTGACCTTGACCCTGTGCTAGTATGGAAACAGCAGTTGCACCATGCATGTGAGGTTTCACCATGTATGTCAGATCAAAGGCAGTAATTCTAACACTAGACCTCCTCTGTAAATCTAAAATGGCAGCTTGTAAAGGCTTTTAAAACGTTGCTCATGGATATTGAAAACGTATGCAGTTTGTCGCCATTGCACGGGGCATGCACAGTTTTAAAGCATGTCATGTTTGGTATCTATTTACTCAGCATACAATCATATTTTATGTTTTACCAAATAATTGGCCAATATATTGTGTTTTTGTGCATTAAAAGTAAAAAAAAAGTGTATTTTTAAAACAATTTCTTTTAAAAAATCGCTGTGCGAGTACTATGTGACATAAAAAATTGCAGCACCCACCATTTTATTCACTAAGGTGTTTGCTTTAAAAATATATATAATGTTTGGGGTTGAATTTAATTTCCTAGCAAAAAATACTGATTTTTTTTTTTTTTCACGTGAACAAAAAGTGTCAGAAAAGGCTTGGTCTTCAGGTGGTTAGAAGAGTGAATGATGTGTGGCATAAACTTCTAATGCTGGGCATAGAATGCCCCCACCCCCCAAAACGACCCCTTTTTAGAAAGTAGACACCCAAAACTATTTGCTGAGAGGCATGTTGAATCAATAGAAGAATTTATTTTTTTTAACACAAGTTTTTTGAAAATGACAAAAAAAATTTTTTTTTTACACAAAATTGTCACTTGAATGATTTATTGCTCACACATGCCATGATTATATGTGGAATTACTCCCCAAAATACATTCTGCTATTTCTCCCAAGTATGGGAGTACCACATGTGAGAGACTTTTTGGCAGTCTAGCCAAGTACAGGATCCCAAAATCCAATAAGCACCTTCAGGCTTTTAAAGGGCTTTATTTCCTCATTACACTTCCTGACTACCTATCACAGTTTCGGAGGCCCTGAAATGCCAGGATAGCACCAAACCCACACAAATGACCACTCTTTGGAAAGTAGACAGCCCAAGGAATTTGATAAGAAGCATAGTGAGTATTTTGCAGATCTCGTTTGTTGCCACAAGTTTTTGGAAAATGAAAAAAAAAACAAACATTTTTTTTTTCTTTTTTTTTTTATATTTCAAAACCTTGTGAGAAAAAATGCAAAATACTCACCATGCCTCTTTTTAAATTCCTTGGGGTGTCTACTTTCCAGAAAGGGGTCATTTGGGGGGGTTTGGTGCTATCCTGGTATTTAAGGACCTTCGAAACTGTGATAGGTAATGAGGAAGTGAAATGAGGAAGTTACGCAACTTCAGGCTTTCAAAGTGGTCATTGGATTTCAGACTCTTGTATGTGGCTAGGCTCCCAAAAAGTCTCACACATGTGGTATCCCCATACTCTGTAGAAGTAGCAGAATGTATTTTAGGGTGTAATTCCACATATGCCCATGGCATGTGCGAGGAATATATCATTTAAATGACAACTTTGTGTAAAAAAAAAAAGTTTTTGTCATTTTCCAGAAACTTGTAGAAAAAAAATAAATCTTCCATGGACTCAATATGCCTCTCAGCAGATAGCTTAGGGTGTCTACTTTCTGAAAAGGGGTAATTGGGAGGTATTTGTACTGTCCTGGTATTTTAGCACCTTAAGAAATGTGATGAGCAGTCAGAAAGTAAAATCTGTGTAAATTTCATTATCTTTACCAGTTTGTAGATGCTATAACTTTCACAAAAAGCAATAAATATACACTTATTGGGATTTTTTTAACCAAAAACATGTAGCAAAATGCAATTTGGCCTAAATTTATGATGACATTTTTTTTTTATATATATTTTTTATGACAGAAATGAGAAAATATTTTTTTTTTTAATTTTTCTCAAAACTTTATTTGTTTATAACACCAAAAATGAAAAGTGCACAGGTGATCAAATACCACCAAAAAGAAAGCTCTATTTGTGTGAAAAAAAGGACATCAATTTCATTTATGTACCATATTGCATGACTGCGCAATTGTCAGTTAAACTAGTGCAGCGCTGTATAGCAAAAAATTGGTGTAAATTGCAGTATCTATACCAAAGTTTGTAGACGCTATAACTTTCACAAAAAGAAATCAATATACACTTACTGAGATTTTTATTACCAAAAACATGCAGCAGAATACATTTTGGTCTAAATTTATAACTAACTTTGAGTTTACTACCGTATTTTTCGCTCCATAAGATGCACTTTTTTCCCCCCAAAAAAGGGGGGAAAATGTCAGTGCGTCATATGGAGCGGCCGGTCCAGTATTTCCACCGCGGCCGTGTCAGAATACCGGGCCGGCCGCTCAGCTCTGGAGCGGGACCTTATGGAGATGACTGCTGACCTTTGGGGAGGTGGGGAGCGGGTACCTGAATTTGACAGGTACCCGCTCTTACTTTGTTCTTTGATCTTACCTGTTCCTCTATCCAGCGGCGCGCTGTCTTCCGGCTTCTGTAGTGTGGGCACTGGGCATGACAGCCGGGTGCCAAGTACGCATGCGCAAGAAGCGGTGCTTTTTGTGAATGGTAAGGCGGTACCTGGGACACATGACAGATCCCAGAAGCCGCCGGACCAATCACAAAGCGCAAGTGCTTCTCGCTCATGCACACTGGGCACCTGGCTGTCATGCCGAGCGCCATTACAGAAGCCGGGAAGACAGCGCGTGGCTGGATCGAGGAACAGGTAAGATCAAACAAAAACTCTGCGGAAGAGCGGGTACCTGTCAAATTCAGGTACCCGCTCCCCACCTCCCCAAAGGTCAGCAGTCATCTGTACTGTCCGCAGTCTCTGGTTATCCCTGTGCTGTCCGCAGTCTCTGGTTATCCCTGTGCTGTCCGCAGTCTCTGGTCATCCCTGTGCTGTCCGCAGTCTCTGGTCATCCCTGTGCTGTCCGCAGTCTCTGGTCATCCCTGTGCTGTCCGCGGTCTCTGGTCATCCCTGTGCTGTCCGCGGTCTCTGGTCATCCCTGTGCTGTCCGCAGTCTCTGGTCATCCCTGTGCTGTCCGCAGTCTCTGGTCATCCCTGTGCTGTCTGCAGTCTCTGGTCATCCCTGTGCTGTCCGCAGTCTCTGGTCATCCCTGTGCTGTCCGCAGTCTCTGGTCATCCCTGTGCTGTGCTGTCCGCCGCAGTCTCTGGTCATCCCTGTGCTGTCCGCAGTCTCTGGTCATCCCTGTGCTGTCCGCAGTCTCTGGTCATCCCTGTGCTGTCCGCAGTCTCTGGTCATCCCTGTGCTGTCCGCAGTCTCTGGTCATCCCTGTGCTGTCCGCAGTCTCTGGTCATCCCTGTGCTGTCTGCAGTCCATTAGTTCAGAATTTTTTTTTTCCTGTTTCCTGCCTCTAAAACCTAGGTGCGTCTTATGGTCAGGTGCGTCTTATGGAGCGAAAAATACGGTATATATTTTTTATAGGCGAAAGTAAAAAAATATTGTTTTTCTTCAAAAGTTTCAGTCTTTTTTTGTTTATAGCGCGAAAAATAAAAAGCAGACAGGCAATCAAATACCACCAAAAGAAAGCTCTATTTGTGTGAAAAAAAGGACGTCAATTTAGTTTGGGTACAGCATTGCATGACCGCTCAATTATCAGTTGAATTAGTGCAGCACCGAGTAGCAAAAAGAGGCCTGGTCTTTAAGGGGGGTAAATCTAGAGGGCAAGTGGTTAAGCAGAGCTGGAAGCGGTAGTGTACTATATTTTTTATAAATATCCATAGGAAGAACATCAACCCCAGAGGCTTTAGTGTTGGGGAAACTAACTACAGCAGCTTCCAATTCGTGTATAGTAAACGGAGCATCAAGAGCTTCTTGATCTACAAGTGACAGAGAAGGAGAATTGATATTCGCAATATAGGTATTCAGGTCAAGCAGTGCTTAATCAGCCTTAGAAGCATATAAATCTTATATATAAATCTTCATAAAACGACTGAAAGATAGACACTATTGAACCTACCTTAGTATTAGTCTCCCCCTCCTTATTCTTCAAAGCCGAGACATAAGTAGGGTTAGATTGAGAATGAACTATCAGAGCCAATAACCTTCCATACTATAATGTACAGCGCTGAGCAAACCTTTTAGCGCTATATAAATACTGTATAATAATAATTTGCTCATGTAGCTCAGTTTATATGCCACATAACGTGTATTTTATTGCAGAAGAGACAGTGCAAGTCTCTTCTGCGATAAATAGGCTGCCTGCTCACGAGTTTTAGGAAAATGCCTTCTATTCCACTGTAACCACTTGACAACCGGGCTATAGCCGCATGACCGTTACAGAGCGGTTGTCCAGTCTGGGAGGGTGTCATATGACGTCCTCCCAGAATGCGCCCCCAGCGACGTGCGCCTGGCGCTGTCGGTGATCTCTGTGTCTTGTGGACACAGCTGATCACATGACTAGGTAAAAGGCCAATCCCAGCGGCCTTACCACCTGATCAGCTGTGTCTAATGACACAGCAGATCACAAAATAAATACAGTTGCCAGTTATCAGCAGCACTTTCCTCATGCTGTCACAGCATGAGGAAAGTGCTGCCGATAACCGGCAAATGTCACAGGGTACATCTGTATTGATAATCAGGGCACTGGGTAGGGGGCGTGCTCCTGCCTTTCCACACCGCCATTCGCAGCCAGAGCTGTCAGTCACTGGGTCCCAGAAGGAAATTACTCGCCAGTGCCTGGTGATTTCCGAAGTTCTCAGATGGGGAGTTTTGTTTACCAACAGTCCTTCCTGTTGACTCGGAAACTCTGTTCTGGATGGCTGTGCACAGCACAGCCATCCAGAGCAGCGTGCTTACAGTGAAGCACACTGACGCGGCACCCTAGTAAAACACTCCCTGCACACAGTTAACCCTTAGATCGCCCCATCATGTTAACCCCTTCCTGCCCAGTGCCATTAGTACAGTGTAAGTGCTTTTTTTTTTTTTTTTTTTTTTTTTTTTTTTTTTTTTTTGCACTGATCACTGTATTGGTGTCACTGGGGATGTCAGTGACACCAAGTCAGTTCCACTCAGAGTCAGAATGTCTGCCGCAGTCCCGCTACACATCGCCGATCGCCGCCATTACTAGTAAAAATTAATTAAAAAAAAAAAAAATTTCAGTGTATATATACCTCCATTTGTAAATGCTATAACTTTTACGTAAACCAATTAATTTACATGTATTGGGATTTTTTTTTGCAAAGACAATTGTGGGGATAAAAGGAAATACATTTCGTTTGGGTGCAGCGTTGCATGACTGCGCAATTGTCAGTTAAAGTAACGCAGCCCCATAACGTAAAAAAATTGCATGGTCAGGAGGGCAAGTGGTTAATAAGGATTTTTTTTTTTTTTTTTAAATGACTGACAAGTTCACGTTTACACACTGAGATTTCCATGTTGGCTACCAGTGTTCGTATTGTTGTGAAGTCAATGTAATCCTGTCACTTATTCTTTTCAATCACTGGTGTAAAGGAAAATTGGGGAAGTTGCTTGTGCACTGCTGCTCAAATATTTGGCTTTCATTTTATTATACTCCTAAAATGCTACATACTCTCTGTAGACCTTTTAGCTTTAAAGGATGCTCCCAGCTTTTGGTTTCATTGACTTTTAGATTCAATTAATCTTTGTATGTCTATTTTGGCATTTCCCAAGTTGTAAAGCATTATGGAAAATGTTAGTGTTTTATATAAAGAGTAATAGTAATACAGTTTGTCGGACTTCAAGCATCACAAGGTTTTTACTTTTTGGTGGGTGGTTGTACTTCCTTCCGTTTATAGGGAACATGATATTTGCCCATACAAAAATTCTTTTAAATGCTCACCCATCTACTCCTCCATATCCAGAAGTACCTGGAAGTTCTGGGTGGCAAAGAGAACATGTGGCTTCCTCTAATATGACACATTTGTCCAATTGTCAGATACCAGCCCCATCAAAAGGACCCTAAGCCTTTTAGAGCTGTGATCAGAGTGACTTGGATCCTAAATCCAACAGCAGGAGATCGAGGATTAGGTATTTATAGGAAGTTAAAAGTTATAATGTCTGCAAACTATGGTATAGATACTCCAACTTGCGCCATTATTTGCTATACAGCACTGCACTAGTTTAAATGACAATTACGCGGTCATGCATTGCTATGCATAAATGAAATTTATGTCCTTTTTTCACCCAAATATATCTTTTTTTCAGAGGTATTTGATCACCTGTGCGCTTTTTTATTTTTCGCGCTATAAACAAAGAAAGACCGAAAATTTTGAAGAAAAACTATATTTTCTCATTTCTGTCAGAACTTGTGGCAACAAACGAGATCTGCATAATACTCGCCAGGTTTTTATCAAATTCCTTGGGGTGTCTACTTTCCAGGGGTTTGGTGCTATCCTGGCATTTCTGGGCCTCCGAAACTGTGATAGGTATTCAGGAAGTGTAATGAGGAAATAAAGCCCTTTTAAAAGCCTGAAGGTGCTTATTAGATTTTGGAGTCTTGTACTTGGCTAGACTGCCAAAAAGTCTCTCATATATGGTACCCCCATACTCGGGAGAAGTAGCAGAATGTATTTTGGGGAGTAATTCCACATATACCCATGGCATGTGTGAGCAATAAATCATTTAAATGACAATTGTGTGTAAAAAAAAAAAAAAAAAATTTCATTTTCCAAAAACTTGTGGTAAAAAAATGTGTTCTTCTGTTGACTCAACATGCTTCTCAGCAAATAGTTTGGGGTGTCTACTTTCCAAATAGGAGTTGTTTTGGGGGGTGAGGGCATTTTATGCCCAGCATTTGAAGTTTATGCCACACATCACTCACTCTTCTAACCATCTGAAGACCAAGGCTTTTCTGACACTTTTTGGTGGGTGCTGCAATTTTTTATGTCACATAGTACTCGCACGACTTTCAAACACAAATTTAAAAAAAAATTACACTGTTTATACTTTTATTGCACAAAAACACAATATATTGGCCAATTAGTAAAGTATAATAGATATAAAGTATGCCGAGTAAATATATACCAAACATACCCGTGCAATGGCGACAAACTGCATACATTTAATATCCATAGGCAACACTTTAAAAGCCTTTTCAAGCTACCATTTTAGATTTACAGAGGAGGTCTAGTGCTAGAATTACTGCCCTTGAACTGTTGAGGGTGCTTTTTTATTTATTTTTTTTTACACTGTCCCTTTTTCTTGTCCTTTTTTTTTTTTTTTGGATCACTTTTAATGCTATCAAAGGGAATGCAAATATCCCCTATAACTTCAATGGGCATTATCATGTATTTTATTTTTGAGAAATCTAGGGTCTATCCTGGATATCTCCTCTGCCCTTACATTATCTAATCTCACCAAGATCGGTGTGATCAGGTTCCCCCGATGACACGGGACTGCCTGAGAATGCTGCGGAAGGCAGCGGGGGCAGGGGGCATCTTCTCCTGCTGCTTGTAAAATCAATCCTGCAGCTAATTAGCCACTAGGATTGCTTTTACATGAAAGCTGATCGCCGGCTGAAAAAAAAACAATACCAGGATGCTGCTTGCAGCTGCAGGCATCATCCTGGTATAACCACTCAAAGTCCAGTGATGTACCAGTACGTCGCTGGTCCTTGTTGGGTGTATATGCTATCCTTCTTTTTTTTTTTTTTTTTTCCCTCATGCAGTCTGTGGGCTGAATAAAAAAAGCAGAAGAAATCTCTGCCAGTATGTGATATGCCCACCTTTAGAATATACCGCCCTGCATCCACCCACTTCTAATGGTGGCCTCACGTGAAATGTGGCAAAAAAAAATTATAAAATATATATGCTGAGGCATAGGGGCCATCCTGTCAAGGATCCGGGTATGACCAGAGATGTGTGGACCAACACAGGGAAACGCAGACTTCAGGTATAGTATAAACAATACGATTTATTAAAGGCTAATCAATACATAAACGCAGTGCAAGGCTAAACATAAACACAGTGCAAACAAAACCAAACCTCCAACAGATAACAATATGTACAACACCAAACGTAGTTGGGCAGGCCGGGTCGGTAGCTAATGGGCAGACAAGGTACAAGGAGCAGGCAGTAGAGTGGTCAGGAGTAGCCAAGGTCGGTACAGGCAGAGTTCATGTGGAGTCAGGATCAAAGCAGAGAGTCAAGCAGGCAGGATACAGGATCAGGATACAGGGCACAAGGGAGCAATACACAAAGGTACTGATCATAGGCCTGGTCCTGCTTAAATATACCTCCTTCAATCAGCCTCAGGTGATTGCTTGATTGCAGGAGTGAGATTCTGGCTGCTGAGAGCACCCGCTGGCCAGCCTTGTACTGCAGCCCATAAGACAGGTGAGTCCCACCACCATTGGCGAGTCCATTCCTGACACATCCTCCCACTGGCCACCCCAGGCCTCCATGCTTCGGCATATATGCTCTTTTTTTTTAACTGCGGATGAAAAATCTCATCCAACAGCACAGCACACACCTACTTATGTACATTCTGAGAGCAAGACCCTGTTGCTGTCAGAATAAACAAGTCGGTGCTGCAGCTGAATGACATCCTCATTTCTCAAACAGGCTTTTTCCCTTTTTCTAAGACAGGTATTTACAAGCCGTTGGGGGAAGCCCCGGCCATTAGGTAGCACAGTGCCACATGCGCCAATTCCAAGATTGCACAAATGTCTAAATAGTGGTACCCTTGAATAAAAAAAATTGGCCACGCATAAGTGGTACCCCATATGGAAAAAGGATGACTCCAAGTCCAAAACTATCTTGCCACTGCTCCCCATGTAGTCTGGGCATCGGGGGGAGCTCCATGTGACTATTTTTTCCCTCGTAAATCCAAAACTTATCTGTATAGCCTGTTTCCCTCTCACAGGTCTTCTACATCTTGACCCCATATCTGGGACGCTTGCTGGGGAGAATTTGTTTGAATGGCAGGCGGCCAAAAAAATTAATGAGGGACTCATCAATGCAGAGTTATGCTGGGGAGTATGGACATCTGCAAATTTTTGGTTAAGGTGATTTACGTGGTGCCGAATTTTGTGGAGCCGGTCAAATTCAGGGTCACCCCAAGGAGGACAGAGTGTGTTGTCATTGAAATGCATAAAAAACACTATACCCTTATATCTATGCCTGGCCATGGCAGCAGAGAACACAGGCATATGATGAATCGGGTCTGTGGACCAATACAACCACAATTCATTTTTTTTTTTTGTAGTAATGCCCATGTTGAGGGTTAGGCCCAAAAAAAGTTAAATTTGGAAAACTTAATGTTTTTCCATGCGAATGGTCTTGCAAGGTTTGAATTTGGGTTGGCGGCGATAAACTTTTGTACATATAAATTGCTTTGATCCACAATCAATGCATACAGATCTTGTGTGAAAAACAGCTCAAAAAAATCAAGGGGAGTATTTAAATATGCTGTTTGCACCTGAATTCCGGGTTGGGCAGGGAATGGAGGAAGTACAGGTGCTGGAGAATTTGTGGGCTACTAATCGGGATTTGCAAGCACATCCGAAATTATACTAGAGGCTCTACAGGCCTATGTGTGAATTCTTGTTGGCTGCGGGACACTACTTGTGCTCGCCACCGCACCAGCTTGTACTGCACTTATGGGACTCGCAACGTCACCAAGTGATACTGCAGTGCTGGTATGTGAAAGACAGGATGTACTAGGCCATTGGTGCTCACCAGTTCACCAAAAGGTAGAGCAGCACTAGTACAGGCACTCTGCTGCATATGAAAGTCATCATGTGATTGTAACATCTCAGCAACTTTGGAACGGGGTTGGTTATGCCTGATCTTAGAAAGGACCTCTTCTCTATTGTCTGAACTATCTGTGAGTGTGCCGCTGCTGTCTACAGGTTTGTATTCTGAGGCTGATTGTGTCAGTGAGTCTTTCCCTTCGCTCTTATCTGACATGCTCAGATTCCTGTAGGTCTCTTCACTAGAGAACCTTTCCATTGACATTTTGGCCACTAAATTTATAGGTACCTGGTGCGACTCACGGGAAAAAGAGCACATGACTGTCAGGGACTGCTTGAACCGCTAAAAAAAAATGAACCGGCAAGTGCTAACAGAGATCAGGCCTGATTCTGTGAACACTGCAGTTTTGAGTGCAATATTTCAAGTGACAGTGACCTACAGTCACTGCACTTGCTGGGGGAGAAAGGGGGGTAAACGTAGGGGCTAAACGCAGGTGCCAGGGTTGATCCTGCTAACGCTGCATTTTTGGGGGACACTATACTAATATAAACGCTGGTGTACTGCTGATCTGATCAAAGATGTTGATCCGTTCAGACACTATACTAGCAATGGAGGTTTATTGTGTATGTGAGCATGTTCCTGGCAATCAAGGGGTTAAATGTGATTTCTGGTGTACTGATGGGCAGTCTGACACTATGTGGGAGGGGCACAAAACCGCGGGTGCACGAATCACGTATGTGTGTGTGTGTGGGTATGTATGTGTGTGTATGTATGTGTATGTATGTATATATATATATATATGTGTGTGTGTGTGTGTATGTGTGTATATATGTATATATATATATATATATATATATATATATATATATATATATATATATATATATATATATATATATATACACACAGTGGGGATCAAAAGTTTGGGCACCCCAGCTAAAAATTTGTATTAATGTGCATAAAGAAGCCAAGGAAAGATGGAAAAATATCCAAAAGGCATCAAATTACAGATTAGACATTCTTATAATATGTCAACAAACTTAGATTTTATTTCCATCATTTACACTTTCAAAATAACAGAAAACAAAAAAATGGCGTCTGCAAAAGTTTGGGCACCCTGCAGAATTTATAGCATGCACTGCCCCCTTTGCCAAGCTGAGACCTGCCAGTGTCATGGATTGTTCTCAATCATCATCTGG